GTAGCCTAGGGTCACGAGTGAGATCAGATGGTAAACTGTCAAATTAGAGATGTCTTCGAGTTCGAGGGGGGCAAATCGAGCCGGACGATTTGGTCAGTCGCACTTTTAAACACATTTTAGTTTTGCTATAGAAAATCTACAAATTCACACTCTGATTAGTAGAGCAGCAGCAGGAAGTGCATGAGGTTGTCATGGCAACCAGATACATTGCACGCGAATTACGGCTGCGCTTCTATTTTGCCACACTAAACTTAGCAATAAACACGTTGAAAATAATACACAATAAACATGTCTGTCAAAACGATCTCAAAGGAGGCTTTTATTAAGCAAATCAAGGAGTGAATTTCTCATCCTCTGTTTTTAAAACAGACATTTGTAGGCCTTGATTCAAGTTAATGCACAATGAGGCGAACACTTTTTATTTAGTCTTATTGAATAGACAGTTTATATTCTAAAATCTATTTAAAGGTTGTGTTCTGTGAAAATTAAATAACATTTGGATGTAAATGGTCGGCATAAAAGTAGTGTGCGGCTAAACCTGCTGCGTCCTGTGGATCACCTTTATCTGATTGTCAGAGTCCGGAATCATTAAGCACGGCATTAATATCTTCATCAGAGTGCTGGTGTTATGGGGTATCCTATTTATTATTTTAAGATTTTTTTGATTGCCCCAGTGAAGCATTTCTGTTAATATAACTGATTAAGTAGTCAAACTCATTCCATATCAGCAGAATAGTGTGGTACAGAAAGTCTATGTCCATAAAACTGATACCTAATGGTCAAAAGCAATAGCAAAAGTAATAGGTCAATATTATTAAATTGCAGACAAAGATTTTAAATAGCTAGGCTGGCTTGCACACTATATTGCCAAAAGTATTGGGACACCCAATGAACACCCATGTTCATTAGAACATGTTCTAATGAACATGTTTGACTACTTTAGTAATTTCCATGAGTACAAATCTTAATGTTTAAGCATATAATGCTATTCTAGGGAATTGTGTGCTTCTAATTTCATACTAATAGTTTGAACAGGACCCTTTTCTATTCTAACACGACAATGCCTCTGTGTATAAGGCAAGGTTAAAAAAAAAAGACTGATTCAGTCAGTGTGGAAGAACTTGACTGGTCTACATAAAGCCAAGTCCTAATCCCAGCTGAACACCTCTGGTGTGACTTTAAATGCAGATCTTGAGCCAAAAACTCATCACCAAACACCTGTGACTTGTACATACATATGGACAAAAGTATTGGGACACCCCCTTCTTCAGAACAGAAAAAGGCACTTCCAAAACTGTGGCAACAAAGATGGAAACATAATTAATGTATTTAAAAATTGTATTTCCATCTTTTTTGCCACAGTTTTGGAAGTGTGGAAATGTAGGCCTACAAGTCATTGGTGTTTGGCGATGAGATTTTTTGAGTTTTATTGAGTTTTCCCAGTACTTTGGGCAATATAGTGTTTGTTTGGTGCGGTAGGGGGCCCAACCTCATATTCTTTCATAGGGCCCAAAATTGCTAGCGGCGCCCCTGCACACACACACGCGCGCGCGGATATAATGGTTTATTACCGCATGCGCATGATTGTGCACAGCTGGAGTTGCAACAGGTATTTTATGGTGACGTCAGCAAGATAGAGCGGCGCGCGGCGGCTACCACTCCGGTCTGGACGCACGAGCTTCTGCTCGAGACCGTGAAGACGCTTCCTGAGCTTCGGTAAGCGATTTTATCTGTCCGTTTGCGATTGTAATGGGATATTTTCGTTTCTCGTAACTTATCAGGTCAGTTGACGGCTGTGTTGAAGAGTTGTTTGGTCTATCATATCATGTTTTGTCCTCAGCAGGGTCATTCTGACATTCTGAGTCAAAAGTCAGTTTCGCGTGGGGTTTTATCAGCCGTAGTTTATCGCTGTGATAGAGGTTTAAAATCATGCTTGAATGAGCACACAGAAAGCGAAACAGAGGGCTGCTGAGATTAGTCATCGTATGGAAAGTTCTCTGCCAACGCGTCACTTATTTACATAATTTATTTGAGTTAAAGCGCTCGTGCTAGTTTTTCATAGATCTGTTTGAAAGGAATAGTTAACAGTTAGCCAAAAAAAAAATTCGTTTATTCTCCTGATGTTGTTCCTGACTTATATGTCTTTCTTTTTTCTGTGGAACAGAGGAGAAGATTTTAGGCAGACTGACAGACAGCCACAGTCATTCACTTTTATTGTATGGAAAAAGTTGCAAAGAAAGTAAATGGTGACTGTGACTGTGGCTGTCAGTCACCTAACGTTTCCTTTTGTGTTCCAGGCAGGTTTGGAACAACATTATGTGAGTAAATTATTACATAAATTAGATTTTTGGATGAACTATGCTAGCGTGGTGTCCAGTTATAGTCTTGAATAAACGCATCAATTTTGTTTTATAAAGCATATTTTGTGTGTGTGTGTGTGTGTGTGTGTTTAGAGCTCAAGGCCGATGTGTTCAGCCCATGTAAACATTGAGATTGTCAGTGGGGGAGAGTGAGCTGTCATTCACTAGATCCACCCCAGCCAAAGGACAACAGTTAACTACTGATAGATTTATTCAGGTGTGTAAAGTATATGTATATTGTTCTAGAAGCTTTAAATTGCCCCTCAGATGCCAGTATCATGCTGTATCATTAATTCATTTTTTTCCATGAAACACTCAATGACAATTTTCGAAGAATCTTTTTGAGAATTTTTTTTAAAGATTTGTTTTATTATTGTTATTGAATTATTATTATTATTATTGTATTGTGCTATTATTATTATTATTAGGGCACCTGCTGCACCTTTTTATGATGACCACTCGAAGTGAAGGCTGCCGCATTTGTGGGAGTGACCTGCAAGGTAACCAGCGGCGATGGCTGTATGCAGGTCAGAACAAAAAGGGGGCACAACCTCAGACGCCGACAGACTTTTCTAGCAAGGGAAGCTTGCCCAGATCGGCACAAAGCAGCCCATGGGGTATGACCTGCAGAGAACATGTCTAAGTACATTACATTTGCTATTACTGTATACATTTTTAAATAAAATGGAGAATAGAAAAAAAACGCATATTTCGGCATTATTACTTTTAATTATTGAAGCTATTAAAATGCTGCATAGGTTTTAAATAATGAGTACATTTAAAAAATATTGCATGTTTGATTATAATTATGAATATGTTCTTTATCTTTTATTTCTAGGCAGCACTTTATCACTAAGCTCCTCCCGTTCGCTATCGAAGTCTCGTGGCCTGCTCACCCCCACGAAAGGAATCGACCTGCTTTGTGTGCTGACACATATATTAGAGCAGTCTGTACCACGTGGGGACGGTCAGGGGGAGTTTTTATGCGGCAAGTGTGTGTCTGTTTTGGAGCGAGTTTTCAAGTTCGACACCGTCATTGCCAGAGTCCGAGTGCTGTCAAGTGAGAGACTCCAGAAACTCACTCAGGAAAGGGACAAGATCAGGCGATGGGTGCGAAGCATGTACGATCAATGCCACATGTCTACTTCAAGGAGAAACGGAAGTTCCAGTGAGGATGAAGGGGACAGGAAGGATTCTGTAGGAGAAGGATACCGAGAAATGCTGAGGGACAACATGGCCCTCTCCGAGTACGAATGGTGGTCCGAGAAAGCGGAGTCGTGTCCGTATTATAGGAGGACAGGGAAACGGTGTCATAAAGGCAAGAAGTGTGAGTGTTGCGATTCCTTGAGGGTGTCTGACTCGGACTACGAGTCTGTTTGTGGGATTCCACGTCACTTGCCCGATCAAGCTTTCACGTCATTGGGCCTCTCTCGAGAAAAATCCTGCAGCATGCCTCTTCATTGGTCGAAAGTGCCGTCTGTCAGATCCAGCCCCGCCTCGCTGTCTGGTTCCTGTCATTCTTTGCGATCTCGATCCCGCACTACCTCAGTTCAGTCGCTGGACTCTTTAGACGGCAACGATCCGTTTGATTGGCCAGAAGAGCATTCGGCCATTATAGACACAGTTTTCAAAGAGTTAAGGAGAATTGAAGGAAAGCCAGTGAGGTCACCTGCTGGAAGTCGCATTCCTGTGTTGGGCAGAGGGGACTTGCAGAATGGGAAGGATGAGGTGGGACTGAAAGCAGGGTTAGTGAGGGTCCTGAATTTTGGAGAGGGCAACAATGGGATGGAGGATGAATTTGAAGAAGATAACAATGACATCCTGACTGAGCTAAAAGACGACTTTACGCCATTGCAAAGAGAGGTGAGGACTGTCATACTGTTTCAGACATTTCACCATTTTTCAAACCTTGCAGTTCATTTTTATCTCTCTTTTTAGGCGTCCGCAGGTAGGGTGCACCTTGCTGTGAAGCAGTTGCGTGAACAACTTGTTCAAGCTCAGACTCGCATCAGAAGTCTTGAGGCACAGCTAAGGGACGCCAACAAACCAACAACCGATGCTCCTGCCAAGCAGTTGAAGTCTCCGCAAGTGGTTAGACGACGTGATGATTAAGTTAAATGGCATGGGTGTTTCAAACGATCCTGTGCACTGTGCATTGTGTTTTAGAGGCTTAGCACAGCACATCTGAGGCACACCCTCTCCTAATCTTTTTGTTGACTTTTTTCAAATTATGCCTTATATAGGGTATATTACAGAAGGTGTGTGGATGTTTTCAAAAAGATAGTGTTTGGGTTTGCCCACGTAGAGAGGTGTATACATACATACAAACACACACACACACACACACACACACACACACACACACCTACTCCACTTTAAATGATAGTTTAAAGGAAATTCAGTCATCCCAGGTAACAAATTTAGGTTAAAAAAAAATGTGGCAACAGTGCTTAGAAATGCTTTTGAAACATTTGATCATAATGTTTTTTTACAGCATTCTACTAAATATATAGTTCAGTCATGAAACTCTAGATGGCGCATCCTGACGGGGTGTTAACGTAACTGATGATATTCAGAGAGTTAAATGACTTGGCACAAGCTGATTTGTTCATGCTGCATATGCAGCCAATGAGCTTACTGCCTTGCATTTATATGGCTGGCAAGCATTCACTTGAGATTCCTGCAGCGCGCTTTCAGAGTTCTCTGAAACCCTCCACCTTCCCCAGCTCCACCTGTATAGATCTGCTACGGGTTATTTTATATGCTATTTGTGCAGCA